CAATGGAGTGGCTTTACAACAACTCAGTGTATCTCCTTGAGTGGCCCAGCGAGAGCCCAAACCTAAATCCTATTAAATATCTCTGGAGAGATCTGAAAATGGCTGTACACCGTTGCTTCCCATTCAACCTGATAGAACTTAAGAGGTACTGCAAATAGGAATGGGCATAAATTCTCAAAGACAGGTTTGCCAAGCTTGTGACATCATAGTCAAAAAGATGTGAGGCTGCAATTGCTGCATCAGCAATGTATTGAGCAAATAAGGCTGTGAATACTTTTGTGGTTTTTCTGATTATTTTTTTTTTTTATAAATTTTCAACAATTAAAAAAAATAAAAAATCTTTTTTCACATTGTTATTATGGGGTATTGTGTGTAGAATTTTGAGGAAATAAATGAAATTAATCCATTTTGGAATGAGGCTGTAACATAAAAAAATGTGGAAAAAGTGAAGCACTTTAAATACTTTCCTGATGCAGATGTAATCCATCCATCCATAATGTATTAACCAGTAATATTCTGATGTATGAAAAACTGTAAATTCACAATTTTCACTTTTAACATTTTGATGCTTGACATGTCATTTTTAGATTCTAAAAGGTGTTTTGCATTCTAGAACAGTATGTTGTTCAATAAAAAACTTTTTTTATATTATATTATATTATATTATATATTATTACATTATTATAATATACTGGGATACTCTTCCAACCGACAACATAAGGTGTATTATAAATGACTCAAAAATAGCCAAAGAAATGGCTAAAAGTGAATCAAAAATGTATGTGTAATTATTTTCTCTTTTGTTTAATGACACTGATATTAACTCTAGTGCCATTGGTTATATAGGTGTTGTACACAGTGAGTAATAATTATTAACAGCTTATATTTTATTTATATGTTTTATATTTTGGTAGGGGAACAGATGAAAATGTGCCTTTAAGGCTCATTTTGGCTTATTTAGTTTTCATTTAACACTGTCCCGATGAATAAATAGTATAGAAAATAAGAGGAAAATCATGTTTTATGTTTATAATTAGCATGTTCCTTTAAAGCTGGAATATTACATTGTAAAATATCCTCTGCATTGTTCATGCAGAAACAGAAATCCTGTCATCAAATTTCCACTTGCTCTAAACCTGTTTTAGTTTTCTTCAGACACAAAAGAAGATACTCTAAAGAATTTTGTAAATATGTGTGTTAATGTGCTGTATTATTGGTTAAGAAAAGGAAACAAGGGTTTAAAACAAATAGAATGTCAGTGTTCATTTTCAGATCACTTTACTTGTGTAGGTGTCCACTAGGGGGCAGAAAGTTCCCGCCAACACCAGCTTGTGTATGATGTATCCTAATGGATTTTTGGTCAAGTCGCGCCTCGTAAAATTCCCTTTTATCTGAACTGAAAGAACATTAAGAGCCAACAAACTTAGTGGGGTAGCAGAAAGATCAATCAAACCACTTTGCTTTTAACACTCAGATCAATACATATTCACTCTTAGATTTGAGCTGGGAATAAGGGGCTTTTGATTTTTCACCTGTCGGCTGCGCGCATACAAGATGTAAGAGCTAAATGTGAGAGCTAAAATCAGTTAGATGAGGCCGTTAGAATCCTTTTTACTCACTTGAAACTTTCATGTTGGTCTGCAGTCACAGTGATCTGATTAAGAGATCTGCATGTGGTCGGTCAGTAGCAGGAGGTCTTCTTTCCATTAGCAGCATGTGTTGACAAACGTTGAGCTCCCGCTGGTTCAGGTAGGCTACGCTTATTTAATTAGTTGGTGTATATTTGCTTGCTTATCTATTTAGTCTTTCACTAGTCACTAGTTCCCGTTCAAGGCCTGTTTACAATCCCACTTAAAGACAGCAATGTAATCCACTCAAACCACCCAGGCATACATCACTGCTGTTAATTTACTCAGTTTCTAGGCCATCGAAAATGTGAGTAATTTAGTTTTCCCTCAATCCAGTTGACGTTAAATAAGAATTTTTAGCCATGAGCACATGGTCTCTTTGATTCATAGAATCAGCAAATGGTTACTGATATGTTGGACACACACACACATACAAAGATAAAACTAAATAGCTATGATGTTATGAAGTGAAATAAGTGTTTGTAAGAAACTGTATATTATTTACATTTACCTCAGCCTATTCAATGCCTATTCAAATGGTCATGTCTCAAACGGTTCCTGTCACATCATGTCATGCTTATTGACCATCAATATGATGCTTATCATGGATGGTGAATTATATTTGTGGCCAATACATCATCAGTTCATCTTGGGAATGACAGATATAAGTCTTGCAGTGAGAAGAGAGATTTTCAGCCATTCTTCTTACAGGACATTGGCCAGGTCACTACATGATACTAGTAGAGTATCCAAAAACCCCAAAGTGGCTCAATAGTATTCAGTTCTGGTTACTGTGAAAACCAGGGGAAATGTTCAACTTAATGCTTATCAAACAACTCACTAGTCTTGCTGTGTGTACTGGTGCATTATCATTCTGATAGACAACATTGTCCTCAGGCAACAATGTTTGAACCATTGGGTGCACAAGGTAGTCCTTGTCTCATCTATCTATCAGCTCATCTATCACAAGTGTGATCCACCCCCATGATTAACTCTGGGTATGCAACAGCCTGGGTGGTACACTTTTTTTAGCACCTCTCCACTCCGTAACTCGAACGTGGAGTCATCAGAACAATACATTTCACATTGTCCATAGCCCAAAACTTTTGCTGCTGGCCCCATTGAAACCAATGTTTTGCATTGGCATGAGTCACCAAAAGTTTGGCTATAGCAGTCAGGCCATGTTAACCATGTGGAGCTTTCAATTAACAGTTTTGGTGGAAACAGGAGAGTTGAGGTGCACATTTAATTCTGCAGTGAGTTGGGCAGCTGTGGTTTTATATATATATATATATATATATATATATTTTTTTTTTTTTTTTTTTGATACAATCTTGGTTAGCACCCATACATTCCATTCAGACAGCTTCCTCTTTTCAGTAAGAAAAAATAAAATAAATGAATAAAAAAAGTGTATATATATATATATATATATATATATATATATATATATAAATATATAATATTTTAGGTGGGCATAGATTTTTTTTTTAATCTAGATTAATCTCGGAATCTAGATTAAAATGGTTCATTTAAATTCTGCCAAAGGCATTCAGAGTATGTGTGCTACCCAAATAATAAGTCTTAGAGAACAGGTTTCTCAAGCCAGGTGGCATATTAGACCAGGGGCTCATCTCTTGTTTCCAAAATGCATCACAAACTGCTTGAGAAATTGTTCTACTATGATAATTGCTGATGAAAATAAACGATGTTCAATAAGATGTTCTTGTGTTTACTAAATGTTTATTCAGTTAAAAATGAATTTTGAACTGTAGGCCTACATAAACTCAAAACAGCTATTTTTGATCATCTTAATCCAACTAAAGTCATAACTGAACTAAACAGAAACGCAATTAAGACGTGGAGAATGCATATATTAGTGGCATTATTGAAGTAAAGACCGCAATCAAACTATTACCATCCTGTAAGATTTTTCGCCATATTTTCAGACAAGATCCACACTCCTTATTTGCGTCTAATACCCCAGTTTGTCACGGTGGCATGAATGAAATGTTCATGAGTTAAAGTGAAACTGCTGAACTGCAGCTAAAGTCAGGCCTCCTGCTGATTTGATTCAGAAAGGGCACTTTTTTGTCAGATGGCTCATCGGTCAGGTATACATCCGCGCTAAAATACGGTTCATGCGCAAAGAGGAAAACGCAGGGCGCAAACACTTTCAGAGCATGTCAGAATGCATTTATGCTAATATAAGGACGGAAAAATCCGCTTTGCGCCACGGCGCATGGTCTAAAAGGGTTGAGTTTATTTTCTTAATGAGTTGTAGGTGTGTTTTGAGAATAAACCAATCAGAGTCTCATCTCCCATTCCCTTTAAGAGTCAGTTGCGCCGCGCCATAAGCACATTTGCTTTTTACATGACGTAAAGTAAGTGTAAGTGGAAAAACTGAGCATTGCAATAGCAAGAAAACATTTAAACAGCATCTACCGCGCGAGAATGAGAGATAAATGATCTACTTTCACTTTTGCTCTCGTGGATAGTGAAACCTTTACGCACAGACATCAATTAGCCTGTAAATAATTATTTTCGTTTGTTAAGCAGAAATATTTGTTTCAAAACTATTTCTAAATTCAGTTCTAATTTCTAGAAAACGAATAAATGAACAATAATAAAGAAGTGTGTTCAAAAACCTGAGTTATATCCTAAAACACATGCTGTGCCCCATGTGGTCTAAAACTTGCAGGTGGGCAAATCTAAGCTTGTTTTTAATAAAACAAATATAAATATGGATATAATAAATAATACTGCCAATAATAATAACATTATACAAAAGCAAATTGTTATGAATGAACTGAAAAAGCCCCCCAAGATGAAGAAGGCATAAAAGCAGTGGTTTTTCATATTTATGTAGGCTATAATCCTTTATATTTATGTCCTATATATATTCTTATTATATCCTATATATATATATATATATATATATCATTAATATTTTAATATTTGCGTATTGCTCTACATCTTGTGTGTAAGCGAGGCGCAACTCTGCGCTGGACTTTAGACCGGGTTTGTTTTGGTCTATTGAAAAATCTATTATAGTTTCTCAAAATAGCAACGCGCCAGCAATGCGCCTCAGAACGCTTTCATTTTTAGATCAGAACGCCTATGGGCGCACATATGAGCGCAAATGCATTTGTTATTTAAACAGCGTGGCGCAATGCCTCAAAACAAAGACTCTTGCGCCAAGCTGAAACTAGCAAACAACTATTGCGTCGCGACTTGCACCACGTTGCGCCGGGTGTATGATAGAGCCATAGCTTTGTAGTGAACTATGTCTTAAATTAATTTTTTAGCCACTTACAAAATACAAATTCATTGTAAAACAACATTACATGGATTATATTGAAGAAAAGACCATTTTGTGGACAACTTTTTCATTTATTTTAAATAAAATATAGAGGTTACAACCTTTTGAAAAGGCTAGAAAGCATGAATATACAAGGCCAACAAAAAAATTGTAGCAAAGTTAAGCAAGAAAAACAGCATTGCTATCAGAAATAGGGAAAAAAACGAAGATAAAGTTCACCTCACACAGATATAAACAGACTTCTCTCTTCTCTCTATGTTTTTATCTCCCCAGCTGTAAAACTGACCGTTAGCACAAGGTTATGCAAATAAATCAGAATCGCAAACCCCATGTGTTTTTTTTTTCTCCCTGAGGTTCTTTTAGAAGCAAATTAGATAAACTCTTGCTAAGCATTACTGTCCACTAAAATAGATCGTTTAGCCCCAATCAGAAATAGTAGATTAAGGCAAAGCCTAATTCATTCACCATGTTAAATGATACTCTAATGTCAGGCTTTACTAGGCAGTACATGCTAGATTAGATTTGGCACTTTTCTTCTTAAGGCTGATGTGACCAAACGTGTGAAGCAGCTAAGAATTCCCTGTCAATCTTGTCAAACTGTAGTCTTAATGTCAAAAAACATCCGTCTTCACAGTGCCTGATCTTAAATTCTGAGACCGTAAGCTTTCAGACTACTGCACTTAAGTTTAACATAAAAGTCTGCAGTAATAAAGGCCTCATTTTAGTTTATTCACGGTCATCTGTAGAATGTAAATTTATATGTACACAATGAAAAAGACGCAAACAAAATCATTTAAATTTAGTGTCTTCATTTACCAGTGTATTAAAGCACTCCAATGCATTTCCAAAGGAGCAATACCAATGCCAGTGTGTGTTATTGTCAATGTTAGCACAATTAATATAGCTGACATTTTAACAACAACAGAACTGACTTCTTAGTTTTGATGTAACACATTAACCAGTGGTTTAAATGTTTCAATGACAGCAATAACCAAACTGATCAAAAACTCCAGCAATAAACAGCAGTTCCCCTCACACGCCATGTAGGGCAGGAAGGAAGTGGTGAGATATGCAAGATACTGAGCAAACTACTATGCAAAACACGAACAGACTGAAAAATGAGATCGGATGGAGGGACATCGGTTGCCATTTTTTTCCAAAAGTGAGCCATGATCAGTTTGTGAAGAGATGAAGTGGTTCTCAATCATCTGCCACCTTCAATTAATCTCCTTTCAAACTTTACAAGGACATTTCCTGAGCTTGTAAACCACAGCAGCTCTTAACATCACAATTTCACCGGATATATGACTGACTTATTTGCAATCAAATGAGAACTTTTTAGGAGGTTTTACAAATGCTGCCCTTAGAATGTGTATAATAATACATAAACTAACATTTGGGATCATCTTCCTCTACATAAATTTTAATTTTTAGGCACCACCAAGTCACAAGCTGGGTTCCCATATCTTTTGACCAATAAATTTACACGCAAAGAGTTTTTTTTTTTTTTTTTTTTTTTAACAGAACTGATGAGAAAAAAAATTTTAAAATTCATGAATGTGTCTTCAATTTCAAATAAATCCCTAATATTTCCAATTCTCAAATGTGGGAACCCTCCATGGGACTGTGGGTTAATGGCTTAAAACTGCCATTGCTTGAGCAAGTTCAGGACAGTTACAATGACGTATGTATTTGTGACTGCATTTTCAGCAGAGCCTCAGTGGAACTTGTAGCAAGACCCTTTTGGACTTCTATTCAAAGCTGTTCATCTTGGCATGGATCAGTAGTGTGACAGATGGCTTTTGGTGTCTGAGCTAAAGCAGTTTCTCCAACTTATCTTTAAAGGGACACTGGAACCTGAGGCATCTGTCCAGCTTTGTCGTGCTTGCATATACTTCCAGTCTTTGCATTTCCCCCTCTTTACATAGTCAATTTCTACTTAAGATATGTATCTTTTTGTCCCATTAATGTTTTACTGATTGTAAGCTTTCATACTCTGATCTCATCATCCTCATCTTCCATGAAGGAGGAGAAGGCTGGTTCATTGACTGGTTTGCAGGCATTTTCAGTAATTTCAATATCTTCCTCGTAAGGCTCACTGATTGGTTTCTCCTCAACAGCAGCTGAACTTGAGCTGGAAACAGAACAGCTGTCAAATTGATGTAGATGTTTATGGTGTGGTTCTGGGGTGCTGGTGCCTTCACTCTGAATCTCCAAGTCAACAGAGCTGGATGCTCTCAATTGACTCTCGTCTTGAGCAACTAATTCCTCAGGTTCCTCTTCTTTCATTATAACTTCCGTCATTTCCTCATCTATTTCCACTCCTCCTTGGATGCAGGGAAGAGGAGATGCATGTCCCTCGCTGCTCTTGCCTTCTTCAAACCCCTGGTCATCATCTTCCTTCTCCATCACTCCCAGAATCTCACCCAGCATTGATGGCCCAAGGTCAACATGGAAGGACATCACAGATTCAGCCTTCCTCAAACCTCCCCCATTGTATGTTGGGGAAGGCCTCAGATCTGTCAACACTCCGAAGTGCTTCTCATGAAGCTCCAGGTCCAAGGCGTCAGCAGAGGCCCCATTGGAAGGGCTGGAAGTCAAACTTTTAAGCACCCTACCATCCCCACCCTGTCCTTCTTCATTGTTCAAAAAAGGCAAGGACATAGCATTCTTCACAAAGGCAGGTGATCCACTGGGAGGGAGGAGGGTGTTGTCTCGCTGGTCTACTCTGGTGACAGACTGGGAGCGTTTGCTGCTCCGAAAAGTACGAGACAGTAGTCCTGGTTTTGGAGAACGAGGATAAGTGTGCCCCTCCTGGGGTGGCTCTCCAGATCGAGTGCTGAGGAAAGAGGTATCTCCAAAAGCTTCTCCACTGCGTCCTACATGCATGGTGTGTCGGAAGTCACCCAAAGGAGCACTGATCATTTCTGTAGTAAGGTCCATACGAGAACGCCGTTTGGTCTGAGACCCCGCCACCAACTGCTTTAAGATGGGCATCTTGATTTCAACTCTCAAACACAGTTCTTCAGTTGTTAGACACTGGGGTTTTGTGGTTTCACAAATAAGCTGTTTTCTTAACCAGATTCTGCTCAGCCTAACTTTGTCCAGTCTTGATGGCCGTCAATTCAGCTGCCAGACAGGAGATAATCTGTAATTAAAAACACACAATAACAAAATCAAATTTCATAGTTAACTAGAGCTGACATCTTGACTCCAAGCAAAACCACTGTGCAAAGCCAAGAAGTTAATTATAGTGCTGTGTTTGGCATTCTGGGTACAAGATCAATACAGACAGCAGAAATTGGTAGTCCAGGCAGAACAGAGGCAGTTACAGGATGTCTTATCAATTCGTCTTGCCAGAATACTAGCTGCAGAGTCATTCATTCCCCCAAGTCAGGCTGCAAAAATGTTTCTGGCAATTAGATGAGGAAGGGGTCAGGATTCTTGCCATCAGGCAAGCAGTGTTTCAATCATTAAAAAGATAAGCACAGTTTAACTACTTAGTAGTCTGTAAATCTGTAAATATCACTATAGCCCATCTGTAAATATCACTATCACTATAGTTTTTCTGTAACTGCACTTTATAACTTATACCTATATCTTGCACTTGCTGCTATTGCACTGCTGGTTAGACCTAAACTGCATTTCGGTGCCTTGTACTTGTACATGTGTAATGTCAAAAGAGTTGAATCTAATCTAATCTTAGTGAAATGCTTATGGTGTCAAAAGTAAAATCCTAAGAGATTAGCTTCATGAAATCTGTTAACTGTATTTAACAGTATAAACTGTGTTTACCCCAAAATTTAAAAAGGATTAAATAAAATGAAGCCTGTTATTAGGATCATTACCATTTCTAATTTTCATGACGATAAAAGTATGGTTCCTTCTGGATTCTTAAACTGGATTATAACAAGTTTGTAAAATGGAAAACTCATTTAATTCTGTGTACATTGTGTCAAAACAGCTAACAGTGACCCTAACAATACACAAATATAGTGATGCCAACCTGATTTCACCAAGGACATGGTCCTGGATTTACATTTATGTTGATCTGGAACAGCATTCTAATCAGCCAATCGGAATTAAAGGATAGGTTTACAGTTTATGTTTAGCTTAGACTTAAGGTTAGTTTTACTCTCTTCTACATGATTGTAATCGAACTATTATTTCCCTCTAATTTTGGGAATAATTTACAGTTACGGTTAAATTAAGGGGTAGAAAATATGTATGGATTATATTTTTTGAACAAAAACAATGTTCCAGGACCAACATAGATGTTAATCCAGGATCGCATCACACTTGGCAAAATCATGACGTGCATTATAGTGACAAGCTGCTAGTGATTTTAGTCTGCAATTTCACATCATATCATATCATCAAACATCAATGCTTGATAGCAGACTTGAGACTAGAACGTAATAGCTACTTCATCTTTAATCAGCCTGTGAAAAAGATAGAGACAGAAGAACATGGTTAATGGCTCAGGGGTAACATTATCTCACGCAACTCTAAACTCAACCTTTACTCTCCAAACTAAGCAGCTCAACAGAGACGACCACAATTACCTTCAAATTAAGCAAGCAAGCTAGTGCAAACCTCAGACTCAAAACACAACAAGGTCTGACGCTCTTAAACAAACCTCTCTGAATGCTTACCATCACCGGCGAGTCTTTTGTTGCATTATTCCCAGTTCTGTAAAGTAACACTAAGGGTGAGAGGCAGACCAAATGCTTGGCATGCAACACATTTTTCCTGTCACTGTAAAATTCATAAATCTTCTGAAAAAGAACAACAGCGAGAGAAAAATTTCTCTGTGGTGCCCAAACAGCTCATGACCTCTTTCTAGCTGAGTCTTCCTACCAGCTTCGTCTGCATTTCCTGATAATGTCCTTACCTGCCTGTGTCTCTATAGCAACACCCCACTGCACACAGATGTCAGCGTTTCCTGTCAGCTTGCATTTTTCCCCCCTTTGGCATTAAGGCAAGACACTGCAGGTAAATAGGGTAAAATTAACTATAATTAGTATTAACATACTTGCCTAGTTTGTTTATTGAATTAAGAATTGCAAACTTTTTTGTATTACAAGTTTTAGAAAAAATATTTCGATTTTTGCATATTATAGCGCATACACAAAAATGGGAATATTGGCTAAAGTCTGGTTACATTATCGTTAATGTTTTATAGAATACAATGTTGTAAATCACCATAACTTAATTATGGACATTCCTCATAAAAAAAAAAAAAAAATTAAAAATCATAATACAGATTTTAGTCTATGCAAATATTGTTAAATCTTTGGTTCAGAGCAAAAGAGAAAATGGTCTCTTAAAAAACTTACATGTTTTCTTGCCTTACGTGTCTTGCCTTAAACAAGAAACTATGCTGATTATAATGTATCCGCCAGACTCAATTAAAAACTATGATTTAGCACAAATGATGTGCAAATCTAACTAGAGTATCATTATCAATCTGATATTAAAAATTAACAGCCTGAACTCCACATTGTATCAAACTGAATATCTGTTTAAACACAAGAGAATGAACATCGTCTATTGTGTTTTCTGATAGAGAGCAACTGCATGCATCCTCCCTGAAGGCTAGAGAGAGAGAGCAGAATAAAGCTCAGCCAATGAAAGGCGGCATCCTGGGGCTCAAAAGCAACACACACCCATTTCACTGACATCATTTCATAGCTGCTATAAACCCACCTGAAAACAAAGAAAGGGAGGCACAACACATTTGTGGCAACATTACTATTGCTTTTGTTGTACATCAATCAAGTTTTGAAGTGTTATTTTAAGTTCATAATCACATTTAGGAATTTAACAGATGCTTTTATTTAAGGCAGATTATACAGTTGCTGTTGCTACGTTGCTTGTAAAGCAAACTAGTACATAAGCTGAAGCAAAAACAAATGAATAATAGAAGAATTATAAGAAGTGGGTAGCGATGTCGCCTCGCAGCAAGAAGGTCGCTGGTTTGAGCCGCAGCTGGGTCATTGGCATTTCTGTGTGGAGTTTGCATGTAATCCCCATGTCCAAAGATGTGCTGTAGGTGTGTATGTCCTAGTGCTCCAGGATGTGGGTTGAGTGTTGGGCAAAAATCCCTCCTCATAAAAACAAGATGTTACAAAACACTAATATACACATTTAGAAGTACTTTACCTCTATTTCAAATCCAAACACTGTGTATAGACACAGGGTTAATTAACTTTTTTTTAAATAAAATGAACAATTAATTAATGTTTACAATAATTTACAAATAATTGCTGTCACTTTTGTTTAATTAAATGCATCCTTGCTGCAAATCATTAATTATTATAATTGTTGGTAAACATTTTATGAATCACCAGTGTTTTGTTATATGGATTATAACATATATGATAATAAATGTCTAATTAATGTTACAGTTCCATTCTGAACTCACAGGTACAGGTAAATAAATGCAGCTTACCTATGAGGCTGGTTAGTCTTTATTTTACACAGTCTGACATGGACACCACAGCAATAATAATCAAAATCCTTTAAATGCAATGCTTAAAATTTCACAAAAGGGGTGGGGCTTTTTTACCACTAATTTGAAAACCGAGTGGAAAAATAGAATTGTATTAATAGAAATATGGAAGTCTAATAAGACTAACAAATTATTTCTCATAAACAGAGCGCAAAAAGAGCACAATGAGTAATCAATATGCTAAATTATTCAGTTAGTGCCACAAATTACAATGCCGAACAACGGTTTGCAGAACTTTGGACAAAGCCAACAGTGTTTATATGAGGTGTTGCTACTGGGTGGCATGAGCTGGGAGAAAAACAAGCAGTGGATGAAAGATGGAAAGCCCTAAATCCCACAGACACACAGTTGCCCTGCATTTCTGTCCTGTCACACATACACCAATGCCCAAAACAAACATTTCCCAACTATTGTGAACAAACGCTTTCAGCTAAGAAAGCTCAATTATTACAAACCAACTCTATTTCAAAAACTTGGGTTTTCAGGTTGTTGAGTAAATAAATGGGCAAAAATGTAAAATCTGCACCCCACAGAAAACATCACAGATTTGTGCAGATTGTTAATTACTTTGCAAATGTTTAGATGATTCAGGTACAAAACAGTTGCTTTTTTGTGGATAAGACAGCTAAGATGAGCATCTTTGTTTACAAAAACAGTAGATCTAATTGGATTTGCATTTTATAAGTTTTTTTTTTATAATTTATTTAATATTTATACAGAGATTTAATATAGTCTAGTATGTGTGTGTGTTTATATGTATATGTATGTGTATATATATATATATATATATATATATATATATATATATATATATATATATATATATATATATATATATATATATATATATATGTGTGTATATATATATAGACACACACACACACACACACACACATATAAACACACACACACACACACACACACACACACACACACACACACACACACACACACACACACACACACACACACACACACACACACACAGTCACGATAACCAGCGATCATTATCCAGAGATCGCTGGTTCTCTCACAATATCCATGGACTACACTTCCCCTTTCTCTTGGACTACATATGCATACATGCTCTCTGGTCACACTCACGCCTGCTAACTCATCTAGCCTGATTACACTCACAACACCTGAGGACTTTTAGAGACTGATTACACACCCTACATAAGCCACACATTCACCCATCCAGTTTGCCGAGTCTTGTTCGCTATCAGTGATATTACAACGTGTTTTTCCTTGTCTTGTTTCCCGTGTTTAGACTTTAGCCTTGTTAATCGGTGTGCTCCTGTATAGCCGCCTGCCTCACGACCTATTGCCTGTTTTACGACTACGATTCTGGATTGTCTGCATATACCTGTTTACACCTGATTTGACCATTGCTTGCTTGACACTGATTAAACCTGCATATTGGATCTTACCTTTAGTTGTTTGTGTCACTCCCCGTGGTTACACACACAATCTCATTATTTATATATATATATATATATATACATACATATATATACATATATATATATATATATATATATATATATATATATATATATATATATATATATATATATATATATATATATAGTGAGAGAAATAAGTATTCAACATGTCACCACTTTTAGATGAAA